GCACTTTGGGATTTTCGAACAACTTTCAAAACACCTATTAGTACTACAACATATAGGTTAGTTTATGGAAAAAATTGTCACTTGCCGGTTGAAATAGAGCATAAAGCATTTTGGGTGTTAAAGATGTACAATTTTGAGTTAGCTGAACTTCGTACCAACCGGTTGATGCAAATGAATGCCCTTGAAGAACTCAGAAATGAAGCATATACAAATTCATTAATTTACAAAGAGAAGACTAATAAATGGCATGGCATGATATTAAAGGGTAATAAGAACTTTCATGAAGGCCAAAAGGTGTTACTCTTCAATTCAAGGTTAAAGCTTTTTTCTGGCAAGCTAAGAACAAGGTGGGATGGGCCTTTTGTAGTTAAAAAAGTTTTCGCACATGGAGCAATCAAGATTTTATCGAAAGATCGAACCCCTTTCAAGGTGGTAGTGATTACTAAAATCCGGGTATTATTACTTTTTGTCTTGGAGGAGAAGTACGCCAATACAGTATAGACGAGCTCGCATGGAGGATAGGGATTTACGATCAACACACGATTATGTCTGAAAATTTCGAGTCCTTTCTTGAACACCGCCACAAAGAGCTGCTCGAGGAAGCGATTGCTTCTAACTGGTGGAACACTATCGCCAACCGGGTTTATATTCCATCTGCTGCTCAAGAGGGAAGCATCCATTCTCCCATTCATCGTTTGATCCACCATCTTGTCGTAAGCACCATCAATATGCGAAAGGACGATGACAAGGTCCAAACCCTCGATATTTTCTACTTGTGGAGCATTATTACTCCCGGCATATTTTGCAACTTGCCTTATTTTTTGGCAAAATATTTGGTGGAATGGGCAGTCAAAGAGAGGATCACCTCAAAAATTAATGGTGGGATGTTTGTGATGAAGTTGGCTAGGACATATGGGATCCTGGAACGAGGGGCCGCAATTTTTTGACAACGATTCCCACACCTCCCTTTAGCATCATACTATATAGGAAGGCAAGAATCATAGAAGACTATGATGGGGGACACATTGTATCCCCATAGAAGATGAGGTTTTAGCTCCCGAGAGACCAGGTCGGCGAGTCCGACCAAGGCACGTGTCGGTACGAGAAGACCCACCGGTAATTCAAGTGGAAGACGAGTTGCCTATGGACTGGTACAAAGTGGAGCAGATGATGTACCAGGATGAACTTGGCCGAAGCATGAACTACCATCATGGGGCGTTTGTCTATTTGTTTGAAAAACTGAATATTGCACCAAGACCTGGGCCCGAATATCCTTACGTGTCAAGTTGGGAAGAGAGGGTGAGTCAAAGGAGAAATCAAGCTGGAGGAAGTAGAGCTGGAGGGAATGAAGATGAAGATGATGAAGAAGATTGATATCTTTTGGTTTTTATTTGTTTGGGTATGATCAAAGACAATTATTTTTATTTGTTTTTGTGTGTTTGGTTGACGCTTAAACTTTAAGTAGTTAGGATTAAGTAGGAGTTTTTATTGTTTTCCTTTCCTATCATGTTTGTTTTGTTTTTGATCTTTTCAGTTGAGGTTAATGGATGCATGCAAGAGTGTAGAATCATAGCTAACCAATAGACAAATCGAGTCTAAGCGAGAGAGAAATCAAAGTTTCGAGTCCCAATAAGAGTCCGGTTGAGAGAAAAGTTACTAATTGATTATTTACAGAAGCAAAATAAGGGAAAATATTAGTCTAATATTCCCCACATATATCAGAATTGGACCTGAGCAGAATTCATATGTTTTCCACTCGGCTGTCTACTCGCCGAGTCCAAGTTAAAAATCACGACTTTTCTGTCATTTACACTACAACTCGGCGAGTTACCATACCTACTCGACGAGTTGCACATTCTTCGACCATCAAGCTGATGATTCGATGACATTTTCCACGACAATTGGTTGTATTCTTTAAACATCATTTTCCAAGCAGTTCTCGAGACTTTTCCTGCATAACTAGAGCTATACCACACAAGACAAGTGACACCCGAGGGATGGATAAGTTGTTCCCATGTCTAAAGTCAATTAACGATGGAGCTTTCAATGAAGAAGATCAACCTCGTAACTACTATCCCAAGGGAGTTTGTTCCAATTCCCTCTTTACTTTCATGTTCTTTATCATGCGTAACATGCAATGGGGACATTGCATGAATTAAGTATGGGGAAGGGGGTTGTTTACACTCGTTACATTGTTACATTAGTTACATTAGAATCCTAGGCTTAATTTTAAAAAAATTTGCATGAAAATTGCAAGGGTTAAATTAGAAAACTTTGGTAAAAAGCAATTAGGATTCCATGCTAGTATTGTGTTTGATGATTGCATGAAGACCCAAATATTTAGTTGAGCCTATATACGTTATAATGCATTTGTGGCACCCTTTATTCTAGTGAAATCATGGGACAAAAACACAACATTGCTTAGTTTGAGGGATGCAATATCTTTAGCATCATGTACTTGAAATGTATCTAGGACAAATTTTATCTTAAACTAATAAAGGTTGAAGTTGAGTGCTCTTGCTTAAGCATGTAGGTTTTGAGTGAAAAAAGAAAAAAGAAAAAAAGTGAGTTACCTGTTAAAAAAAAGAAGGGAGGAGAGAATTACAAGAAAAGTTATAGAATTTTCGAGCAATCAAAGTGAAGATCAAAAGATCAAAATTCAAAACTTGAAGATACCAAAGAAATCAAAGATCAAATATCCAAGAAATGAAGAATTTTAAAGAGCTTTATAGTGGTATCAAAATTTTGTAATTTTCTAGATTATGTATGCTTGGGTTGCTCAACCAAAAATACTTTGAGGTAAGGAAATTTTTTGCGGATGGATTTGGATGGATGCATAAAATGAGCATTGTTCAAAAGAAGTAGGCGAGTATTTATGAGGATTGTGAGTATTTAGAATTGAGGGGGGGGGGGGTCCTTAGAAAAATTTAGACACAAATTCATGCGTTCCGGTCTTGGCATAATGGTTGGGTTTGATTGGGATTGTCCCATGTGATGCTAGTATGTTTAAAATTCAGTTTTGCTTGGGGGCAAGCAAAAGTCAAGTGTGGGGTATTTTGATATGTGCATAATTAGTCATATATTTTGTTAAATCTTACTACTTTTTGGCTAACTTATTGCAATTTATGGACAACATGTACTTAATTATGATTAAATTGTATTTTTTAGTCCAAAAGATGAGTTCGGAAGCAAAAGGAAGCAGGAAATGTGATTGGGAACTCAGGAGTCGAAGAAAGAAGAAAAAAAAGAAGAAAATAGTCAAAATCCTGATGGACTCGGTGAGTTGGACGTCTACTCGACGAGTCCACACGAATGTTCGCGAAGAAAATACAAAGTCCTTGCCGTACACAAATTTCACAAGGGGGACTCAGCGAGTCGGTTACCTACTCGGCGAGTAGCCCCTGTTTTCTGAAGTCTATATATAGAAGCAATTGGCAAACTCAAATGTTTTCTCTGGAACCTCTTGGGATGATTTTGCAACTTAAAGTGCTGATGAAGCTTTGGAGTTCATGGAGAAACCCTAACCTTCGATTTTAAAGAAAATTAGTTTACTTTTCACTTTAATTCTTATTTGAACCATGTTTGAGTTATTAGACATTGTTTGTGAGATACTATCTATTGTGATTATGAGCTAAACTTATTATCTTCTGTTTATGGTAGATAAATTTGATGGGTTTTGGTCATAAGACATCCTATGTGCTCAAACAAACCCTAATGCTTGGATCTAGGTTTCTCTATTGTACATGCTTTGAATCCAAGACTATAAACCCTAATTCTAGCATACAAGTAATCATATTAATATGTAATTAGGTTTAAGATCATACCTTGATTGTTATGTAGCAATAACAATCCCAATTCCACCTTGGATTGACTTTGGAATGCTTAGAGTCACAAGTGTCACTCCTCTAATGGCTCACAAACACCATAAGCAAATGGAGAAGGTATAAAGAAAGACGTAAGAGGTTAGAATTCGTATCTAGGACCTCTTGGGAAGGGATTTACGAATTCATGGCCCTAGGGGTGTTTATATAGGTGTAGAGATAGCGTTTCAGTCATTATCCTTATCTAGTTGATTATCCATTAAGCAACCAATAAGATAATCCTTGAATCCTTATCATACTCGAATTCTAAGGGATTTACACCTCAAATTCGTTCACCATATATATAAGATAATCCTTACCTTATTTTGTAACTATCACATAATTACAAATCAGCCCCTCTAGTTTAATTAATTACATTTGATCACAAAACTAATTCTTAATTAATTATTGACCAATATTAATTAACAAATATGATTTCTCCTTTAATATATTATTCTTATAACATATTAATAAATCATATTATCTCTCTCTCTTTATTCATTTCTCCAATCAAGTTGCTTTGGTGAAGGCAACCCAAAAGGACCATGCACCATCGGGTCAAGTACATACCAAAATAGTTATGGACTTAGACACTAATCCAACAGTCTCCCACTTGGATAAGTCTAACAACTATTCTGCATAGACTTCAGATCTGATCTGCAATCGTAGCTTTCCAAAGCGCTGTCAACTCTGATCATATCAGATACGCGTGTCCTTAGATAAGGGATCATATATTCCTCCATTCTAGATATCGTATGAGATATGATTTCAAATCATTCTCTTTGTACTATATCTCGATTTCCGATTTATGACGACAGACTAACTGAACAAATCAAATTAGCCTCAGCCCGGCCGAGCATTTACGTATGTCATCACTAAACCATCGAGGGGCCCAAAGATATCGCTTCTATCCTACTTGGATAAAGGAACGGATAAACTTTGATACAATGCTCGCTTGCACTCACTCAGAAT